AAAATTTGATCAGCTATTTCTTAAAAGTGTTGAGCTTGGGCACCAACCACTCAGTTAGGAAACCTCTTCCACTCGCCCACAGCTCTGCATGTAAAAAGTGTTCCCGTTATCTCCCTGTCTAAATTCCACACCTTATAACAAGCCTTCAGCTATTTTCATTGCTTTCCTACCTTGTCTTAATCAGGACATAGAAGAATCGATATAAACACCCATATCCCTTTCGTGTACAGCTTCCTGCAACTCTGAATCTACCATGTGATATTTATAATGTGCGTTCTTACTGCAGTATAGTTTACCTTGCATGCGATCGATGTTAAATATTACTTTTCAGTGTGTTTACTCACTCAATGACTCAATGTTCTTTTTTCATATAAAACATGATTTATTTATAACTAATAGAACTTCTTATAGCTATTTATGACATTTTTTAAGGCTTTGACTTCTTTAATCTAGCTTAGAAGTGAATGTATGAAAAGGTGACTTTTTTAATTAGTACATACAGTACATAGTCCTAAAAGATGATACTCTGATTAATATGAGGTACACCAGCATGTCATACAGCTAACATTAAAAACATGTTAGTTTAAATGATCTTTAAAAGGACTTTCATAACCATATGGCATATGGTTAAAACATGCACCTAGTTTTATGATATGTGATGACATTGAAGTTTTACCTGATGTAATCCTTTAATCAATATGAAACCATAGTTTTATTTGTTTATATTTCTACTTAGTAAAAACCTTGTTTCATGTTATAGTTTTGATAAGGTTTTAAATCATATTACACTTCCACATATAATTTCTTAACTTTGTATAAGATAAAATACTTTCAAACTTAGTATTTGTTCATAATGTGACAATTTCTAGTATTCAAGTGCATCAGAGTTTTTTATGCTAAGAAATCCTTTTTTTCTGTTTAACAGCTGTAGCTGAAAACAGACACAGAGGGCATTGCATTTATTTTATAACACTTAACCAAATAAATTATTGAAGTGCAGTAGCTTGACTGATCCAGTACATGACATGAGTCAGATCCACAGTTGAGGCAGCGATACATACAGATGTCTGTCCTGAACAAACAGATCAAAGTCCGGTCACGCCGACAGGATATGGTGACAGGAGTGACAGCAGTGTTTTGTCAGTACAGTCTGAACCTATTAGCATCTCAGGAGTGTTGTTAGGTGAGGTGTTTTTCACATTCGCACACCTGTGCAGTATTCTTAACTGCCACTCAGGAAAGGTAAAACTGAAAGAGTTATCTTGTATCCTTCATCACTGCTGCTCCACCTTCTTTGTAAAAGAAACTGTTCTGTAAGCTAGCCTGTCGTGCCAGCAATCACAGAGGGTGAACGTGGCACAAACCCCCCCCCCCAGCCCACTGTCGTCCCTTTACTTTTCCTCTAGCTTACACAGCAGGAAGAGCAGCGATTCCCTTCTCCCACACAGCTCACAGTGAGCTCTGTGTCTTTACACGATGGATTCAGCTTGATCCCGGGGAAAGTCTTAGCCAGCTGGGAATCACACTTCCTGCATCTGCCTGCAAACCCCCGTTTTCTCAGTGGCACCACCGACGGGAGGGTGGTTAGAGACACTGGCTTATTGTCTTACAGTCACGTGACAGGGTTGCTTAGGGCTGTGCTTTTACTGATGCTAAAGCGTGGCACCCACCCTGAGTCCAGTTGAACAATTCATAAAGGTTGGGACTGAAGATGTGGGATTAAATGCGTTTCCTGTGATTTCTGTTTCGTTCTTTTCTACGTCTGTCCATTTTCTAACCGCTCTGTCCAGTTCAGAGTCACAGAGGAGTCAATCCCAGCAAGCAATGGGCGCAAGGCAGGGTACACCTTGGAATGGATGCCAGTCCAACACAGGGCACACACTCACTGGAGGGCCATTTTCCCAGAAGCCAATTAACATACCAGCATGTCTTTGGACTATGAAGCTCCCAGAGGACACCCATGCGAACATGGAGAGAACATACAGACTTCACACAGACAGCCAGAACTAACCCAGGGCCCCAGCACAACGAGACTGCAATGCCAACCAGTGCACCACCATAGCTACACCTTTCTACAACCCTTTTGCACACGTTTAACAGTGTTCTGTTGTTAGTCCGCAAAAAAGTCATCAGTTTTTGCAGATTTCCTGAAAAGACCCCAGACAGGAGCTTAATAAAAGTCTGGCATTTATTTAGAAAACAACTACAGTGTGTCTGCACCTTAACTTTAATACAGCAATGTCTACTTACAGATTTTGAATTTTGAAGTGCTTTTTTGACGTGATTCTTCATTTGATTTTCTTGCATAGTTATCTTTTGTTTTTATTCTGGGAAAGCAAACTTTTCTTTAGGAAAACAAAATAACATGAATGAATGGATTTGTTGAATGATATTGATTGAGAATGACACTTATGCCTGTGATTGTGCAATGTGAGAAGGAAGCTGTGTTATAGAAGGCCGTATGGGTGTGTTGATGACTGTTGACTACAGATATACAGTATAGCACGTGCCTACATTTACTTTGACAAGTTGTTTTCAGAAATGAACTCTCATTTAAGCTGAATATCTCACCAAATTGCTCCTTCTTAACTTTTCATCTCCAGCCTTAATAATTCAAAAAGATGCTCTCCTGGTGGTAATTAAATAACACACATCTTTGATGTCTGCATCAACCATCACATTAAAACAGTTTCCTTGTTGTACCTAAGGTCTGTATACTTAATCTGGGTTTATGATTATTCTGGGTAGTCTGAAAAAAAAAATATTGTAGAATAGGTTTATTTAAGGACCAGACCTGCCATTTCTAACAGGGTGCTTGGAATAACTACAAAGAGGGGAGTTTGGTGGTTAAACCACATTGTTTGACAATGTCAAAGCACAAGCTGTTTAACAAGGTCACTTCGATTATTAACGAAATTAACAATTTTCCAGCAGTTTGCATAATACAATTTTAAAAAATCAATGAAAGTACAAAACTTTTAATCACAATTAAAACTGTTAATTAAACTCACTTTTGAATTATTTCATTTCATTAGAAAATTACAGTGTCCCTAAAATGTTTCGTTTAAACACAGGTACTTAGTAACATTTTGAGAATGCATACAGTACATAGATGATTATTTTCTGTTTTAAGAAAGCTAGTGATTATTTTAAACCATTTATAGAACAGATCGAAAAAGTTGCAAAATCAGGGTGATTACATTTTTCTGCAGTCGAATAAAAACCATCTTTATGTGGTTGGTTGATACATGAACATATTGGGAGTAATCAGGAAATGGAGTGTCATTCAGTTTCACAGCTAATAAAAAGTCATTTTAAACTGTGTTAATTGGCCTTTTAAAGGCTGGGGCAGGTGAGTGAATGAAGGTAAATCAGCCCAACAAAATGGAGGTAATTTAATTACCTTTCTTTAACGTGGATGACTTAAAATATAAGCCATGAAATTCCGTTCCACAGTCTCCAGTAGAACAGAATCTTCATTGTGAAAGTGATCTGTTTTCAAAGGCCGAGAATCCCTGACCCAAATCCATTGTGAGTGAACTCCTCTAACAGAAGATAATCTAAACAAGTCAGACTGGCTCGAACCCTGTTGTACTCCAAGAGAAAAACATGGATGTTTTCTTTTTTGAAAGTGCAGATCAGAGAGTAAAACAATACTTAAGAGCAGAGAGTATTTTCAACATCCGAAAAAATAACGCGTGATCATGAAGTTAAACCACAGTATAGTCTTTGCTCTCATCAGCATTGTACTGTACGCTGAGCTCTTCTTGGTAATTGTAATTGTTAGTAGTAGTAGTTAGAAATATATGAAGTGGCTAAATTAACTTTGTTAAAAATGATGTGATTTTAACGAATAAAATATAGCTTTGAAATATGTGCACGTCTTCATCAAAAGAAAACAAAAATAGACTTCATATGAAAAATTCTGCAGTTCAGCGTGTAATTTCATTTTAAGATGTTTGTTGTTAAATTAGTGAGCCGAGATTCTTTTGTAAACAATGACTGCTTGTTTTTTAACTCATAAAGAGATAGAATCTGCTGTGTTAAGAAGGGATTGCAGGGCTGCTTACACAGAGCTGTTTTTCTCTTGAAGATATTGCCTTTGCTTTCTTTTTTGTTTTCTTTGCTGTCATCCTCTGATTGTATCATGCTTAGTAAGTAATGTTAAGTCATTTTAGCTTGAAACTATAAGTAATATTAGTTTGCAACCCTTACTGTTAATAAGTGTTAGTTTCCACCACATAGTGAATCAGTAGTGCTTTCATCTGCTAAGTGTATTAAAGGCTAATTTTTCGTGTGTAAAATTTAATTTGTATAATAAAAGTACCTTTTATAGGTAATTGTGATTGCACCCCTGTCGTTACTGTTAGTGATCAATATTGTGTTTTAATTTTTGCTGCAGAGCTTTCAGTGACCTGTATACATTTGCTTTTAGTAAAATGGAATTCGTAAAAATATTTACTTTAAAAACATTATAGTGTCTTTAACACTCCCAGCAGGTGAATACTCTGTAAAAAAAAATAACATTTCTCCAAACATGTTTTAAAACACTCAGAAAAAACATTTTTAAAATCAAGATTTGAAAATAAATATTATTTTTTTTAAATTTATTAACATGAATACTATGAGCATGCAGTATTTTTGTGTTGAATGTTAAAATAATGGAGAATATTTTCCAACAAAAGTCCAACTGTAGTTTGGAACTGAATTTTACACATCAAATGTTATATTTGATATTTTTTTCGAAATGGTGTAAAGTTCACTGAGCCTGAGTGTCACCCGGGTCAATAAGAGTGATGCATTAGAGAGAATATTTGCTCAGAAACTCAATCTAAGGTCCCTGATCGGATTCACACTTTTCAGTTGATTGAAAAGTTTCTTTGAAGAAGTTTTTTTCTCCTTCTTGACTCTTGAGAGCCATGTGACCAGAGGAGGAGGTCCCTGGATGGCGGATTACAGGTAAGGAGCACTGTAGTTCACACCTGGCTCAGGTGCAGGTACCTCCTGCAGAAGTGAGGCCATCTTCCCTCAGAAAGGAAATGATTGCTATTTATTGAGGGGAAACATACCAGCTCATGTTTTTGATCAATGCTTTTTTAAGGATTACTAGTCTTTTACTTTCTTAAAAAAGCTTCAGTTTTACTTTTGTTTTTAACTTTTTCACTAAGGTATTTAGTGTTCTTTTTCACTGGGAATCCTTCAGATTTTTGGAATGGCTCCGTCTGCTTCTTTCTAAAGCTTTGCCATTGTTATGGTATTTTCTTTATTCTCTGATTTTCTGATTCAGTTTAGATCCTTGGTTTCAGTTTGAAATGATACCCGAAGAGACACTTTTGCACATATGTGGCTTGATTCGATGATGTGCCTGTATTTTATTTCATCCAATGCAGATCAGTTTCTGTTTCAGGGTCTAATCCGCATTTACAATTTGAGAGCATATATTCAGGCTTCATAGTATTAGTGCCTGCCTGGGAACAGTGGGCACCGTTTTCTTTGTCTTCATTTCCTTTTCTCTGTAACCTCCGGGACAACCCTGTGAAGATTGGACTTGCACCGAGTCTGGACAGGCAGGATGTTCAGCCCAGGACAGCTCATGTCTGCTCTGTCACCTGGGCTTTTTCCTTCGTCTTCAGCGCATCTCTACCCAGCATTCCCAGCAAGGCTGGGCTCCGCACAGCTGCCCAGCCTTCTTGTGCCAGGTTCCCTGATCAGCTACGAAATCCTCCAGAGTTACCTGCAACCGGAGCCCTGCAAGCAGGCTCTTCTTCTGGCTACTCAGGCAGCAGGCTTGGTTGGCATCTCGGAGTACACAGGTAAGACAATACTGCAGGCCAGATGTCCCACGCAGCTTTAAATGACTACAGGCACTCCCGATGGTTGACTGAACTGGCAAAAGATTCCAGTGCGCATTTTAAAAGACTTTACCTGAGTATACGTGACTCTGTCAGGTCATTAACTACAGCAAGATTTTGAAAATTGATTTATTTGTGAGCACAGTGCGACGTACGATTTAAACAAACAATATTCTGCATGATTTGAACAATTACGTAGTATAATAATCAGAGGGTCACGTTTCATTTAAACAGAAAACAGTCAACATTGGGTAGCAAATGGTAATAAAAGGATGAGCAAGGAAAAGCTGTGAGAAACTACTCAAATGTCAATAGAATTTATATTCTAAAGTAATGAAAGCACTTGAAAATGGATTAAACAAACTGAGATGTACAATATGTATATCACACTGTATCCACACGTGTATTCCTCTGACACGGTGTGCAGTAGGTGCCTTATTGTCAGCACAGTTTTCCGAAGTTGGAGAACAGGAACTCGCGAAACGGGCTGGTGAAAGCGGCGTCTCCGGGCCTGATGGCTGGTGTCGGCTGTGCCTGAATTTCCAGACGAGAGCCGGCCGGTGAAGCAGAGACGTGCGCGCGCGAACTACAGCAGCTGGCAGCTGGAGGAGCTGGAGAAGGCCTTCGAGAGGACTCACTACCCCGACATCTTCATGAGAGAGGCCCTGGCGCTCAGGCTGGACCTCATCGAAGCCCGGGTGCAGGTGAGCGGGGAGAACTGGGCAGGAGGGGCGGCTGGACTCCATCTGGTTCAGGGTCGCCGGGGAGCCGCAGCCTGTCCAGGCAAGAATCGGGGCGCAAGGTGGGGCACACCCTGGGCAGGATGCCTGTTTGGTTAGGCTTCCCCCCCGACCCTGCACTAGTATGGATGGAATATGAAGAATTATTAGTATTATAATATCATTATTATTTGGATTATCTGTATTTGTGGTTTAGAACTACAGATGGACATACCGTGTGTGTTTATCAATATTGTGCATGCATGCACACACAGGCTTCCAACTCATTCCTAAAGTAATCCTGATGTAAAGTACTAAATTACCTATTCCAGCCTGAAACCAGTTTTCACACAGTACAGTTTGATAAATCCTTTGCTACTAAAGTGAGAATTTGAACCTGTAGCATTTTGACATTCTTAATTTAAGACTATGTTGTAGTATACACATGCCAGTACATATTTGTCCTGTCATATAGTGCCTTTCTAGACAGGTAATCATTTGCCCAGAACTTAGAAGGTTAACCAAGGTGAACTTTATGATTGCTTGGATCACTGAGCCTGGAACCCCTACATCTCAGCCAAATCTTCTGTGCTCTGCAGCTGGAAATGTAGACACTGGCCAGCTGTTACACATTGTATTTAAATTCTTAGAGACTCTTCTGTAGCCACCAATAGCTGTAACAACACCAATAATCGCTTTCATCAGGTGACCTTGTCAAGTGCAGAGATCCTCAGAGGGATGAAGGAAATGTAACCGATTTCTGCTTTTACCTGAAATATGTTTCCTTTGACCTAGACTTGTAATTTTAAATACCCTGATTTGAGAGAAAACCAGAAGCTCTTACTGACAGAGCTAAAAGTGCTTTTCCAACTTGATCCCCATCAATTATAGACTAATCAAGAGGGTGTCCAATTGGCAATATTAGGACAATCCTGCTGTGCCTGACAAGCTGTTCTATGGCTAATAGTCTTCGCATCGCAAAACTGCAAAACTTTGCCTACAGGTTCCCCACGCAGACCCAACAAAACTGCCCTGACTAGTGGAAATCACCCTTATTTCTGCGTAACGTGTCATAAATTCCTTAAACATTGTTCTGCCTGTGGCTGGAAGGCTGCCAGTTTGAATATTGCGACCGGCAGAGGAATCCTACTCCGTTGGGCCCCTGAGCAAGGCCCTTAACGCCAGCTGCTCCAGGGGCGCCGTATAAACGGCTGACCCTGCGCTCTGACCCCCAGCTTCTCTCCCCCTGTCTGTGTGTCTCATGGAGAGCAAGCTGGGGTCTGCGAAAAGACAAATTCCTAATGCCAAAAACTGTATATGGCCGATAAAGTGATCTTATGTTGCGCACGCTTAAATACCATCTTGAAAGACGCCCCCTGTGGCCAGAGGCCGTGCTGTGACTCTCAGTGCTGCAGTTCCGCCTGACTGTGAGGGTCTTGCTTGTTCAGGTTTGGTTTCAGAACCGCAGAGCCAAGATGCGGCGGCAGATGAAACTGCGGGGGAAGAGCGCGAAGACGTCGGCCGCCGGGGGCGGGGGCGGGGGCGGGGGCGCCCCGCAGGACGCCGAGAGCTCGGACGGTGAGCGCTGGGAGGGGAGGCCCGAGGGGGGCGCCAGCCGCCCCCCGCCTGCAGCACAAGCCCCCTCCCAGACCGCACTGCAGGGGGCGCCGGAGGGGCCGGACGGCCCCAGCGCTGAGGACCTGCGCTCCTGCAGCATCGCCAAGCTGCGGGCAAAGGCCAAAGAGCACGAGGCCGAGATCCAGAGCTCGGCTGCCCGGCCCCTGGCCGAACTGGAGCCCGAGGCCTCTGGCGCGGGCAGCGACGGCGACTGACGCACGGCTCTTCGGCGAGACAGACCCCACTCCCCCGAAGCAGGTGGGTATGAAGAGCTGCCACGTGGCCCCAGTGCGATCTCCAGGAAGAGTAAGGAAGAGTGCTGCTGTACTGTATGTGCTTGTTATCATCCAGCGCACTAACAAAACGTCAAGGAGGTCAGTGTCCCTCCATTGCAAGTAAGAAACAAGAATCAGAGACTGTTCTTTCTGTGTATGGTACTGACTGTTCATTTTGAAACACACTTGTTATAATTGCTGTACTGTACCGTCTGTTCTTGAATATCACTTGAAGTAACTGATGTAACTTCTAGGTACACGGAGCAGCTGAACAATATAATTCTTTTGCTATGAAATATAAGGAGAAGAAAGTCTGCGAAAGAAAGGAAGCCATTTGGCCCATCCTGTTGCTGGAGCTGGGGCTTAAATGCACCTCTACATCTGTTTTAAATCACTTTCGTGTGTACAGTAGGAGGTGTTCTGTCTTGTCTGGATGTACATACTATTTTTGTAACTTAAATTGTCTACTTTATATTGTTTGTTTATACTCCTTTTGTGTGCCTTTGTGGTGGATTGATTTGTCTGAAGTGCATATCTGTATTGTTTATTGATAAATCCATTTTCTAGTTTGAGTACGTTTTACGGTAAATGAATGTTCTCCAATCTGTCAGATATTGCGTAAAAATATTTTTGTGTAACTCTTTTGAAATAAATGATATGCTTTTTTTATACGACAGGCCTTAATATTAATCAATCTGTGAATGTAACATGGAAAAGTGCCTTATTTTGTGCATGAAACACTTTTGGCAGAACTCAGGGGATCTCTTATCTGACATTCTTGTTTCTGAACTTTGTTCAGTGATAATTAATTGAAAAAAATCCAGGAATAACATTGCTTGTTTTGAAAGTAAATTTTCCCATGTCTTGGGTTCAGTAAAGACAATATTTTATACTTGTCTGTTCCAGGGTACTCAGTTTGCTCAATGTAGTATGTTGTATCTCTTTTCCTACAAAGCTTCATCTGGCTCTTTAAAATTATTTTCTCCTACAAAATTGCTCAGCTCCAAATCTCAGATTCAAAATCCTTCAGAACCCCTGTTTCTGTTTTTTATCTGTTCTAACAGTTAACTGTCATCGGTCTTAAAAATAAATCACATTTATGGAAAAGCTGACTGATTGTAGGGTTTAGTTCAGGTGGGTAGCTGCGTCAGCATGCGTAGGCTGCAAAGGAACAAGTAATAGGTTTATTCCATGCTGAAAAAAAGAAGAAAGAGAACACAACGTTTCGGCCGTGGAGCCTTCTTCAGGTGCCTTCTTCGGGCTCTTTGACACCTGAAGAAGGCTCCACGCCCGAAACATTGTGTTCTCTTTCTTCTTTTTTTCAGCATGGAATAAACCTATTACTTGTTCCTTGATTGTAGGGTTGACATTCATGTCATAGATTTAATCATTTTAACAATACTTTACAACACTTCATGCCTAAGGACTCCAAAGCACCTTGCATGTAGGATTTGAATCCACCACATTAACAGCAGCATTGCCTGCACTGCACAGTGGCGTGAGATTGCCAGCCGAGTTACAGGGGAACTTTCCGTAGCCCAGATTATTGAATCCTGGAGCGAAATTAAGCCAGAACATTGGGGTTTGCACCTCTATATATTCAAACAGTGCTATGGGATTTAATTATCACGTATTCAGGAAACAGTTTAACTCATTGTCCAAATACGCCTCCTACAGCACAGTGTGTGCCATTCATGTTCTAGTCCATTCATGTTCTAGTCCAGCTCAGGGGCGAGGGAAGCTGGAGTCTATCCTGGCAAGCAGTGGGCGCAAGGCAGGATTCACCCTGGATGGGATGCCAGTCTGTGGCAGGGTACACACAGGGACAAACACACACTCACAACAGGGCCGATTTTCCCAGAAGTCAATTGACCTACAGAAGCTGACATGAACATGTGGAGAACATGCAAACTCCACACAGATAGACCTCCGGGAATTGAACCTGCGACCTAGCGCTGTGAGGCATCAAGGATAACCACTGTTCCCTCGAGCTGCTCACTGAGGCTTTCATCTGGAAATTCTGGAGAGAGGGAAGAAGGCCACCTACCGGTAATCTAACACCACTAACATCAGAAATCTGCTTTTACTTAGAAACCCTTCCTCTATGACTAACCAGGTCCAGCCCTGCTTGGCCTCTGAGATCTGACAAGATCGAGCTACAAGATGGCGCTGCTGCCTATATGCTATTTTAAAATAAATACTCATGTTCTAGGAGTCTAGAGTGTATACTTCTGACAGCATGATTGGTTATGGAAAATTATCAGGTTCCAGATTTCCTAAAAACCCTCTACTTATAGATCCTTAGGACTGACATCAGAGATCACATAATCAGCTCCCTCGTTGTCTTTTTTGTCTGTTGTTCATTGTCGTTGTCAGGAATATGGCTATACCCCATGTACAGTAAGTGTGTATGGCTAAAAGGTACATTTTTGTTAACATGTTTGCAGAGCTGTCTTTATGATAGTGCTATAATGTATTATATTTATAGTTATCCATTATCCAACATAATAATTGTGATGTTGTCTTCTTGTAATGTTTTTATTACCAGGGTACAAGAGACAAACCGTATGATGCACATTAGCTTTGCAGAGATGAAAAAAGCATTCCAAGGTAAGTTAGAAACATAACCCTTGTTTGAAATGAAATATTCCGCTTCAAATATTAGAAGTGAACAAGCATAAAAGGTGGAATACCTTAATGTGAATATGGAAAGAAACGACACAATTCTGTTTCAGGGGTTAAGAGCTGTTGGTTGACAGGAAAAGGGATCTCGTTGGCTGCATGTTGCACTGGCATCCTGTTTCAGACAGTGTTTGCCAGGACCGCAGGATGGAAGCAAGATGCCACAGGCACTCTTGTCTGCACAAAGATGTAGAGACTTCGCAATAACACATTGGTTCTTTCTTGTATGGCAGCCAGCAGGAAACTGTTCTGTTTCACATAGTTTTCTTTCAACTAATCACAGGTATATTTAATTTTTCCTGCTTCAATCTGTCACAATGAGCTCTCATTAAACACCCTCTGCATTAGACGTTTTCATGAATTAGCAAGTGACACCTTCCCCCTCTGTTTAAAGCCACAACAGCCATGGGTGTAGGAAACTCCTGGAAGGCCTCCACTGCCACCTACAGGCTATTAGACATTATCATACTGCATGTGGGCTACAAGGGTTATTTAACATGGCTATTCACAATTCTGTATTAAAGGAAATCAATAGCTACTGTAAAATACATCCAATTTCTCCATATCAATCAAAACATTTGGTAATTTCGGGGGTTTAGATCATTAATCTGTATAATAATAATAATAATAATAATAATAATAATAATACAATATACACTTTTGGGCCTCATTTGGAAATACAATGAGTCCCCTAGCACATTTGAGCGGATTCAGCGCTCACTACAATTCCAAACTGAATAGACAAATGAATAAAGGAAAATTGGGAAGCTACTTGCCTGGATGTTTGAGATAGTTAAGGCCAGCCATAAATAAATACTGCAGACACAGCACTCTTGGGTGCATGCAAACTGAGAGAGCTTAATGCAGAGGGCCAAGTAATTCTTTCCAGATGTAGCATTTTGAATGGGATAGGGCATCTGTGCAGCAACAAGCCTTTTTAAGCTTAAGTGTTTTTTTCCTTCCTATTACACAAAACAGCAGTTTCATGTCAGATACATTCTATTCTTCTGAATCAGGGCATTTCCTGTGGGGATTATGGGATTGAAGGCTATGGTTTGAGTTGTTTCTAAACATGGGCCTTGTTTCAAAGCCAGGGCCTCTCTGGGAAGTAATATGTTACTGTCACATGAGCACGCCGGGCAAGGCAGGAAAAAAGAAGTCCCATTTCAGGATTTTATGACTGACCTTTTGGTGACTTGACTGATCCTTCTATATAACTCAATTAACACTTCGATTAACACTTCTGCTATGAACAGACTCACAGGAAGACCTTGATTATTGCTCCACAGATCTAATTTTGAAGCACTTTATGGCTGTTTTTTCTGCATTGCATGGTTACAGAAATAATACAGATGTTGTTACAAACATCTTTATACTTTGTAAAACTTTGTAATTGTTATTAAACACAGCTACAGTAAGTTATTGTTTCTATATGAAGCCATCATATTAATGTAATGATAATGTAATGATAATGTAATAAAGGCAGAGTCAGATGTTTGTATTTGTATATGTATTGTTGTATGGATAGGACTATTGTTTATTTTAAACACATATTTATTTTGTGTTGAGTGTTATTTGTTATTTGTCTGCAGTTTTTGTAGTGATGCCAAAACCTTCCAGCCTTTTGGAGGTGCTGACAATAATGTTATATAAATACATGTAAAAAAAGAAATATATCATGTACTTTGGTTCTTTGAATTCTTTCATAATGAACTTTTTTTTCTGAAAATAATTCAAAAACAGATGCTAATCACCAAGATTCCAAGAGGATTAACATCAGGAGAGCAGGGGAACCTCTGATACACTACTGATTCTGAAGGATAACTCATGTGTATTTAAGATTCAACAGAAATATTATATCACAAGGAATAATACTTAGGATTTATGATAGGATTGGAATGAATTTTATATTTGAAAGGATTTCTTCTTATTATTAATATTAGCTTTTGTTTCTTACAAGAAAGTCAAAGTGGTTTGGGTCCCATGTTGCATTCAAGTCAGAAGAATATCAATATGATAAGTAATTCATATCTTGATTGCCCACACCCTATACGTGAGAGATTAATACCCTATTTGTTCATTTTCATCTTGAACAGCTTTGAAATATTTCAAGTTGCACCTCTGTCAGTTCACTGGTTCCGTAGAAAGAAGCAGCCAGAGCTGAGAAAACAAATTGATGGTTATAAGGCAATTGGTATTTGCAGGACTAAGGACATCAGATATTCATCGTATGCTCACTAGAATGACACATTGTTTGGCCAAATGTTTTTTTAAACAGCAGGAGTCAGTATTACAGGCCACAAGTTGATACTAAAAATGGTGGATAGACAGTAGTCTTGGTTTGCACAGAAACCCCATTTCCACTTATGAGGTCCTGGTTGTGTAGTAATTGTACCTTTAATTTTCCGAGACAATGCCTTTGAGCAGGAACAGGTTCCATAATGAGGAAAGACAACTGACTTTTTGTCGTGTTTTCTTAAGTGATGATGCCCAATATGCAATTAGTTTCATACTCTGTATATTTGTTTGTGTTATTTATGAAATAACTCGATGTCTCCAAATCTTCTTGAAATATTTGACAAAGTTTTCATAGGATCAGTAGGATCTGCTTTTTGTCTATATAACAAATTCATAATCTCCACAAAGTTCTATCATTATGTGTTTTATGGTACAATAATTCAACTACATTGTTTTTTTAACTTCATAATTAGGCCTGGAGTATCTTTGCAGTTAAAAAGAGAAAAGTTTGTAATTTAACTTTGCTTTTAAATCTTGTTCACTAAAGTTTCTTTAGACGGAAGAAAAATACATTCTCCGTGAAAAACAAATTGGAGAATATTTTCCTCATTAAAGTGGTATGGCAGTCATTTAATTTCACACTTGGATTAAATTGGATTACATTTTCTATTAATTTAGGTTATTGAAAAACTTAATTCATTTACTTTAGCGTACCTAACAGTTTAATATAAATAACCACCTGATGAAATATGATGTAGTACACTACATACAGTATATTTGGAAGAAAAAGAACAGTAGCAAACGTTTGTGCATTTACTACATTGGAAAATATTGCATTGTTGAGAACTATGAATGATAATACGTAAATTAAAACTGATAAACTAAGTTATAATCATAACAAAAATGATTAAAGTTGAAAAAGAAGAAACATGTTCTGTGATGAATTATGTCTTATGTTTTTTTTTAAAGTAATGAATTCAGTGGTTTGACAATACTACTGTAAATGGCTGTTACCTGTAATTTAAAATTATTTTGCTGCATTTAAATATTTGCTTAGTTTTTGCTAGATACTGTAGATCAATTGATAGCTTGACTGTTTAAAAAATATGATGTGTATAAGCACAGTATTTTAGAAAACATACTGTACTGCATTAAGCTCGTGTGCTTTGTGATTCAGAGAGTCCTACAGTACAATGCCAATAGTATATTAATGAGCAGATTCACCATGTGTACAGTGTGGGCTTGGAATGTTCAGCTTCAGGGATTTCAAAGACCTACTGGTCCGTGTTCAGTTTTGGAAATACTATACGGTGATTTCCTCTAACTCTCCATAGGCTGTAAGGAGACTTGGAAAAATATGTGTTGTCTAGTTCTGGGAGGTATGAAAAACTGGTTGCAGGGAGGAAAGGGTCCTAGCACCATTAAAATTGCTACATAGCATAGTCGGCTACAAAGTTTAAAGTATCCTGCCCTTGGGGGTCATATAATATATGTTCGGTTCAGTGTTGACTGTAGAAGCTGAGCGAAGGGATGAACTTCTGTGGGAGCTTCAGGACAATGAAACCCTACTGGACTTGACCTGTTTTGCCCAGTCGGTGCCCCACTGGTGCTACCCAAGTCCAGATGTCCCCACCATGTCCATTAGTTAGAAGGACCTGAAGACCAACCTGGCTCTGGCTCCTCATCTGGCCTGTCCAAGACTTGCGAGCTGTCTCTCATTGAGTCATTGTGCTGCCTAAAGGAAGCCAACCTGTCCCAGTGCAGCACATCCACCTGGCTATAGCACCTGACCATGTGTCTGATTTCCTCCTCTGCCTTGGCCCTCTTGTAAAAACGGGTCTTGCGTTGTCAGTGCCGTTGGTGTGATGGACTTGGTTAGTTTGGGTGCAGTCTTCCGTCATCTTGTCAGCCTCTGTGGTGGTCTTGAAAGCAAGCCTCCATCACACTCTCTGTGTTGCCATCTTGCTGCCCTGCTGCACCCTTCAGGTTGCTGTCATCTGGTTCATGGTAATGGTCATGGGCCTCTTGCTGTCATCCAGGGGTTCATAGTTCCTCCCTGTGTTGCTCTTGAGCAGTCGCAACGATACCTAGGTAATGTCTCACCTAGATCCAACATGAGCCCATGCTGAGGCCCAGGATGCACAGGTGCACAAGCCAGGACTGCTGAGGAAGCTGGAGTGGGCCCAAGCAGACCAGACGTTTTCACTGTATCTGGATCTCACAGAAGGTGGCCAGTCCTGTGACTGTGGCCATCCTGCACCAGGTGGAGCGCCAGTGCATGTTTTTAACAGGATGCCAGAATGGAGACGGTCAATCAGGGGTCTAGGAGACTGACATGGTGACCCCCACTATGGAACACTCCATCATTAGCAGAGCCCCCCAGAGACTAGTGGTGGTAGAGAAATGCTCAGTGGGTCAGGAAGGGAGGAGCACCGATGACACTGTCCTGCTGCTGTTCTCCAGCAGCTCTCGCGGTGCAGTCTGGTACAGAGAATGTGTGAGTTACGAGTGTCTGCTGCCAGTGACGGCGGAGGTGGCTCTGCTAACATTTTGAATACGTTGTAGGTATTCAAAACAGCTGTTATGCCTTAAGTGATGCATGGCAGGCGTCAAAGTTGAAATGTGGAAATAACACTACAGATATTGTATATTAAACATACTGTGTATTAAGTTACTGGCTTTCGTATACTGTCAATAAGTTATATTAACTGAATGTTATAATGTTAAAGTGGCGAAAGAACACTTCCAATTATGAAGGATGATGTAGTTACAGTGCCCCCTAGGAAAGTGCATAGTTTCATTTTTGTCCTAGAGAAACCTTTACCTCGCCACCCCTGTCAGAATGTTTATAAATATATACAACTCGAAAAATCTGGGGGCAGCAATGCAATGTGCATGACCTTTTAATACAGAAAAGAGCTCAAAAACAGCATTGTAGTGCTAAAGGAAACATTCCACGCGCTGCAGTTTTTATTTAATTCCAGACTTGTTACTATTATTAAATATTTTCACATACAAAAATAAAATAAACACAGACTACGCTGGGTTCGGTATGAACTAATCCTACACTCACAAGCTCCTCCCACGTCACGTCACACCAAAACCTCTTCAGGTATTGTTTCAGTTTGTACTTTCTGGCATTTGGCAACTGCAGGAAAAGTTCGGTACTTTCACTTGCTAATATCGGAATTTTCCACAGCAGCAGCCGGAGCAAATTCTGTACATAAACACTGAGAAACGCTGACAGACCTCCCGGTTTGGATACTGGGCTATTTGCATGAGTTAAGGCTTCCAGGGTTTGTTAGTTTTCTTTCATTCCTGCCTAAATATCCCGCTGAAGGATGGCTGCCAGTATCAAAGCGCTCCAGCAGTGGTGTAAAATACAGTGTGATGGATATCGAGATGTGGCGATTATCAATATGACAACCTCTTTCAGGGATGGACTGGCGTTCTGTGCCCTTATCCACAAACACAGACCCGATCTCATGTAAGTAACTTCTTAATACGTTGTTCTAAACTCTGGTGTAAATGTAGTAGATTGTCCTGTATGACCTCTCTAATATTATAGTATGGTGAAACGCTGTGAATGTAGTATACAGTAGCACACTTTTTATGTTGCCTTAGTTAAACTATGTTGGGGTTTTTTGTTTTAGTTTTGTTTGTTTAATAGGTTTACTACAGCTACGCAGTGTCCTTGACAATTGTGGTATTGGGAATGTCGTTTAATGCTCAAATAACAGATATCACTGCGTGAGTAACGCTAACCGATATGCGCATCTGCAAATAATTAACAACACCGTCCTGTAAATTACATTCTGCTGTGTATGGGTTCACAATGTGTTTTCCTGAAAACTGGAGAACTTGTTCCCGGTAGTTGCTGTCGGTACTGAACTCATAACCTAGTGCTGGAAGTTACGAATGTGAAAGAACAGGACCCGACAGGCTTAAAAAAAAGGCTTTGGTTTCCAGCGTGATATAAAGATTTCAAAGAAAGCAAACCACTTTACTACTTGTTGTGTGAAATGGCATTTTGCTCTTAACTCGTGAGTACGAAAAACTGCATTCATTGTGTTTATTTTTGGAATTATAGCCATTTAAAAACCATAAGATATTCAGTTAAACCCGGTTTTATTTAATTGTTATAAAATGAAAAATCTGTGGATTAACAGATTTTCATTTTCACTTTTCTTAACATTGCTTTGCTTTCTGCTACTTGGTAATGGATATTCTTTTGACTGTCAATCCATAGGGAAACGGGTTTGGACACTAATTACTGACAAGCATTTAGTTTATATTAATGGCTTTTGAACCTCTAACCCCCCCAAAATAAATACTTGTGATAGAATCATACATTGAAAAGTCAGAGCATTAATTCAGTGTGCACCACGAAAACAGCTGAGTTTCTGACAAAACCTTGACGCCGAGAGGTTATTGGATGGTTATTGCTCTGAATCAAAAGGTAACTTGTGGATCTTTGCTTCGTGGTCTATTTGCCACAAGGAAGTGAATGTGTCCACAGTTTGAAAGCTACTTCAAAGAAATCTTGCTTCTGAGAAATCTGTATAGAGTTTTGGATCTAATATGTTGATTTAATCTTCACAGTTACCAGTTATATTGACAGAATTTGTTAATTTTTAAACTCTTGCAGAAAAAAAGCTAAGATCTGAACTTCTGTCAGTAGTATTGCAGTATGTTTGCCCTTTCAGTTCAGGGAAGATACAATGCATTTGAGTGTAGATACTGTATAACTCATTTCTTGAAAGGAGAATCATGATAACTGCAGTAAGACTTTTATTAAAATAGTTTTGGCCAGGGTATCATATTTGTCTTCTCATGAAGTCCTGTCAATCCTTCATCACATACGACATTTTCAAAACACTTATAATTAAAGATGAAGTTTACAGGTATATCCTTGAATTGGACTTGTATTGTTTCTATGAAAGACAAGAATATAGTTTTCCTCTTTATAATTAGTTTTTGTCACACGTTTCTCCCCTTAACTGTAACAAAAAGTAACATTATTTGAGTGGGTGTGTCCCTAACCCTCCCCTTCTGCAGTACATTTCTGCCCAAAATCCCTTAAACTAGAGCCCTCTGGCTACTGTGAAACCTCCAGGTACAGTAACAATACTCTGGCTGCGTCAACAGCGGTGTTCCAAGCTTCCACCCTGCACACTTATACTAAATTCTTTAAAGTAAGCTGTATTCCCCTGTGGTTTATTTTACAGACTGATGGGTCAGTAAGGGTCCCAGTGGGGGTGTTATACAGTACGTCTGAGCTGTTTCCCGATGCCATGGGGCCATGGGGAAATTTGTAGAATAATGCCACACTCCCTGCTTTCCCTGGGGGGCAGGAGCCAGTACTTGGGTGGGTCCTCGCATGTGGGAACCCTGTGATTTGGAGAAAGAACCCCCTTTCAAAACATCCTAACTGGAGCATTTCCACTGCACTTTTTTTTTACATTTGCACGTCTCTTAACAGACTCTATCATTTGCTGTCTAAAACATTGTGAGCACGTATTTTTAAACCTAACCCAAGGAAGCTTTAGCCTGCAGATACATTTGTTCCTGAACATGATCATCAAAATCGGTGTGTATTTCACACCCTCTTAATCTTAGCGTCCACTGTATACCGGATGACACCCCATATTACCATCCTGCAGGCTGGCCCTGAACAGTTAGGACCTGAGGTAGAGGCCGAGGGCAGAAAGTGTAGCAATGTTGTTTACAGGCACATTTGGAGGAATGAGAAAGAAATGCACTGATAATGAACTGCATCTTTATTGACAAGGTAATTTCTTTACCTTACTCCAGTTCAAGAAAACAACAGATTTGGTCCCAGTGGTCACTGGACCACAGTTTATTCAAGCAGGCTGAGGTTAATGCTCCATTTTTCCATACCAATGTGCTCAGTCAGCTGCTTGCCTTGGTGAGGGTTAAGGAAATTCACTTCATCTCACAAGCACAGGGTAGAAGGTACTGTAGGACTAAGTACACGCAGCACTCCCTCACTAGCAGAGAAGCCAGTTCATGGCATGCCTTCATAGGATATATCTGACTTTCTGTATTATGAAAGTACAAGATGACTGTGTTTATGGGAGCTAAAATTATTTGTACTGTAAGTAAAGACAGTACAGACGCTAATCTGCTTAACCTTTTGAGTCGAGTGTGTACAGAGTCAGAGGGTTATGTGTACATGCATTCTTTGCTTTTAGTAATTGTTTATTAGTTTATATGTCCAACAGAGTCATTTAGAATTGACCTCAAAGTAAATTATAGTAGTGCCTTTTTTGCTCACAGACAAAACGAAATGTGATTTAGATTCCCCATGTCGTAAAAATTAACATAAAAACTGACAATTTTGTATACTATATTGTTTCTGTAAATGGTACATAATGTTATTCATATTTTATCCAGCCTGATATTTAATTTGAATAACAAATGCTACTGTGTGATTAAATGAGAAACATATTGTGCTCATCTTTCTGGTAAACCTAAAATGATAGTATGGTTAAATATTAGGCACCTTTATTGTTTTCTCATTGTCAGATTTTATCTTCGTGTGCCCAGTTAATCAGCTTTTTACAGTACATATGCTTCGATGCATACATTGTTACAGATGTTACAGATGATGTGCTTCTGTATGAAATATACTGTAGGAGTAGTTTGTTGCCCAATCTTTCAGGGCCTGGATAAAAGTAAGGTTATTTCCTAATTTATATTTATGTTATTACTCAAGTTAACTGTAAGATAGTTTTTTGTTCAAAAATAAGGAGAAGACACTGAGCTGTTCTTAGCTGTTCGATAGCTTTACATGTTAATATACTGTAGGCCCTGAGTTCCCTTTCTTCATTCCTGCAGAATTGTTCAGATCGTTCCAGACTAATAAAACCTGTATTTGTTTACTTTTTACAACTTTCTCCTAGATGTTGTTTTGGGTAAAGGAAATATCTGTATTTATTTGGAAATAATCCAGGTAACCAAAAAGTTACATCTTTTTAACAGTGTGAAAGAGTCTAGAGCAGTGAAACAGATTCATCTGCCCATCATCTCTCAAATGGCAAGTTTATGAGGAGCAACTGAACCTATTTACTAACAAATATTTGCATATTGCCTGGGGGCCACAGTTAAACAAGTAACAGCTTGGCTGGTAAAAGTTCAGGAACAGCATTTGGAAGATTGGAGTGCTTTGATTCCCGGGAGATTGGTATATTCATATTTCCCATGAGGTTCTCCCACATACACAAATATTTGCTCAGATTGTGATTAATAGCATCGTGTTCTACTTTTTTTTTTTCAGAGACTTTGATTCTCTCAGTAAAGAAAATGTATATGAAAACAACAGCTTGGTAAGGACTATTTAAATATTTTTTAATTGCCTAACTGACCCGATTTTATCTGTATGCCAAGTGTCTCTGTGAATTTGTTTGCCTCTTCCTATAAGTATGTTGAAGTGATAAAAGTGTGCTTTACACAATTATGTCTTGCAAAAACGAATGGTGGCACAGGTATGTATTAATCCCACTGATATTGTGCACGTGACACACGAATTATGATGTCCCCTGGAACTTATGACTGTGTACACTAGAAAATAATGTATTTCTTTTAATTGGTGGGAGCTCATCAGAAATTACCTCTGGAGTCTAGATTTGACAGCAGCTCTCTGTTCTTTCACAAATATTAAAGATGCTATAATGATAGGTAACGACTTTAAAGAAAAAAGCATTCAAGAGTTAATACCTAGCTGTTCTACCCTGATCCTTAAAAGTGTGTTGTTTTTGTGAGGTTGTTTTGTTGTCCCTCAGTCTAAAGTGGGCTTATATTTGAAAAGATATTTGCAAACTTTATCCATAAAAGACTTTGTATAATATGTTATAGGCTTTTGTACTACTCTATGTGCTAAATATGATATATGTTATAATTTCTACAAAAGCTGTACTGTATATTTGAAATTTTTCATTGTACTGTACCAAAAATAGTACTTATGCCCAGACATTACAGTGCTAGATACAGGCATCATGTTTTGGTACAGTGCAAAATTATCACATTTATGTCAAATTGTGGTACCAGTAGGAAAACCAGATGGAAAAACTAAAAGATCACTGACATGAGCCATTTTTTTCTCAATCCGAATGGAGACAGAAATGAAAAGAGTGAGCATGTCAAGCAGGAGCTGGACTTTGTGATCGGATTGATAATGTCCCTGACACCTGCCTGGAAAATTACCTGTTGTTATCGATGGCTGAAGGGTGTGCATCAGTACCTTTCTGGAAAGCAAATAGAAAATTGGCTCAAGTGCTCCTTACCATTTTTCTGATAGTAGTAAGCCTATCTCGATAGAACCATATTTGGCATAAAGAAGATGTGTTTAGTTGCTGTAACAGTTCATGTATTCAAGCACATCTTAAATCGGCAGATATCACTCCTAACAAGAAGAAACGTGTTAACTCGTGAAGCCATCTCCTTTTCCTTCATCTTGAAGCCGTTTTCAGTGTTGGTTGGTCACTGATTAAGAGGAAACATCTAACAGCAGTTTGACTCAAAGCACTGCTTTTGTTAATGATTGACTCATCCTTAGGGCTTGGCTACCATGGAGTATAGAAGGTATTTCAGTTCCGTGGTAAGATACACTACTGTCACACACGTGCACCTTGGTGTCCACAGATGTTTTCAGTTGCCAGTCACGTGACTTTGTCATAAAAGTCAATAAAAATGATTTTATTAGATCACAGAAGGATTATGAGTTAATCTGCCTCATGGTGTTGTCTCCCTGGGGAGGTAAACAGACCTCACCCTAGCCTACAGTTTGTCAGAAGAGTCTTTCTGGTGCTCATTCTCTGATTTCTACAGAAAATAGTGCAAACGTTAGAAATTGAAGGAAAAGACAAGTAATCTTGTTCTGAAGTGAATATAATTTTAACCAGCTCTTTCAAATTGGAATGTTTTGATTGACATTCTGCACCCGAACTAAGCGGGACTGAACTGGACTGCAGCAGAAGGGTAGAGTCCTTGCAGTCCCTGAAGTTTATTAGCTCATGTCTCCCTAGAGGCGTCTTGCTTAAAGCGTCGTGCAGAGCAATTAGCCCCAGAGCTGACTGACATATTTAATCGGTGGATCAGTCTGGATCAGTGTCTGGATACCCGCCTGCTTTAAATCCTCCGTTATCGTACCCGCAGCAAAGGAAGGGCAGAATAGCTTGACTTAACGACTGCAGACCAGTTGCTCCTACTTCTGTCATAATGAAGATTTTTCATCATATGATACCGATATATATATATATATTGGGCCAGCTTGTCAGTGGATGACGCTGTTAATATGACCCTTCACTGTGTTTTGCAACATCTTGAATCTTCGGGCTTGTATGCAAGAATTCTTTTTTGTGGGTTTTAGCTCTGCATTTCATGCTGTCATTCCAGAACCACTTTCCATCTGCCAGTGGATTTTCAGCTTTCTCACAGAAGGCAGTGGATGTGGCTCTGCTCTTGTTTGTCAGACTGTTTGTGAATACTTCTTTACAGCAGGGATGCGTGTTTTCCCCTTTTCTCTATTCCTCGTACACCAACGACCACACCTCCAGTGACTCATCCGGCAAACTAATGAAGTGTGTGGATGACCTCACTCTTGTAGGTGTTATCGCTAATGACGATGAGACCCTGTGCAGGGGTGAGGGGAAGGGGAGCTGGACAATATCATGGCTTGTTAGCATGGGCATCAGCTTCAGCAGGAGGATCCTGGAGATCCGTGGATGTGCTCTTGGGGTTCTTTTGGACATCCTGTATGAGTTTTCTGGTTGCTCTGTGGAATAATTCTGAAGGACATCCACATCTGTGTGCAGTCACCATGGTCTTAAGTTTGCTTCGTTTGTCTGACAGTAGACTGATGAATTCCCCCAAAAATTGCTGTTGTTTTATATTCCTCTCCAGACTGATGAGCACTTACAACACTTCCTGAGGTCCTGTGATTTGTCTTTAGATCCTGCATGGATCTAACGCGTTACACTACCCTGAATGGGTAACTTCAAATTCACTAGGTTTCTCACTTTTATGTAGTAGAGGGCCTCCCACACTTTGTCCTGGTAATTGGCTCTTGAATTGGTCAACATGGTACCTAATTATTTTAGTAGCTGGCTTTACTTACCTCGTTGACCAAGCTATTGAGCCTTGTAGTTCACTTACTTTTGCACTTGCACTAATTCTTATTTACCTTCTTGTTTTTCTATTACATATATCATTTTCTCTAAACAATGACATTCACGGGAGGGTGGCCAGGAGGCGGGCTTTGCTCTCAAAAAAGAACATTGCTGTTTGTCTTAAGCCTGCAAAAGATCATCTGAATGCTTCTATAGGTTTTTGGAAGAATGTTCTCGGGACAGATGAACCTTAAACCAGTCTTTTTGGCCACAACAGAAAATGCCATGTTTCGTGAGCACCTACAACCAAAATAAGCTCATTCCCACTGTCAGGCACGGTGAAGGGATTGTCATGGCTTGGGGCTGTTTTCCTGCCCACAGACCTGAACGACTCGCTGTCATTGAGGGAACAGTGGTTTCAGAGTCGGACCAAAATATTCTGAAGGAGAAAGTTGAGCAAAAAAAAAAGGGTCCTTCAGCATGATAAAGATCCTGAACATTTTAGCACATCTACGAAAGAATGGATTAAAAGGAAGGAATTTCGTGTTTTGGAATGGCCAAGACAAAATCCAGATCTTGGCCCAATAAAAATGTTGTTGCAAGATCTGACGCGAGCTGTTCATGCAAGACAGACAACAGATCTGGAGCAGCTGAAGCAGTATTGGAAGAATGGGCAAAAATTCCTAAGAGACTGATTAGTAACTATATGATGTGCCACTGTTTATTGAATGTCTTGGACATAGGGATCCTTAAGCTTCTGTTAAATAAACATGTTTTGCTTAATCAGTAATGAAAGAACATATAAATATACAGTATATATTTGTATGTGTGTGACCATTATTTGGATTTTCTTCATTAAATATAGGAGTTCTGTCAATTGGCGCCATGCTGTTTGCATGCTTGTATTCAAGCTGATGGGGAAACACCACTTACAAAGGGGTACGGCACTTCAATGCACTTGTAACTCATACATCGGGTGATACATTGCAACACATAAACTAACATAACAGCCAAAACTGCTTTTATACTCTCCCTTAATCTACCATCATTCTTTATTTAATGTTCAGTTTGATTCTGGGGATAAGATGTGTTCCTGAAATTTGGAATGTAAGTTAGTTTAAAATGTAACTTATAACTTCACCCTTTTCTATCACATTTGTCTTTAGTAACTTTGTTTGATCAGCCTAAATCAGGACGTTCTTAGTTTAACAAAACATCTTCTTATTTTTTTCTTTTTTCATGTTTTTTACTGAAGTAACAGAAAATGTGTTTTATTGTTTAAAACATTGATGTCAGTTTCACTTACAAAAAATCAGCTAGTTTGGAAATGTTAGATAAGTATTTAATTGCTTCATAAAATGAAGTGGTTAAACGTCTTACAATACCTCACCTCTGAGACCTCTGTTTTTGGATCCTTCACCTTTTGCACACAAGATGGTATGTGCACATGACCTTATTTCTTCACATCTTACCATTGTACTGTTTTTTTTACAAAAGGGGAACTGTGAAACAGTCAAACAATAATCAGCTGATTTCATCAAGGAAAGAATTATGTTGAAGAAGAATGTTGAATACGGCTCCAACTTTTTCTTCCAGTGACAGCGCAAAATGACATACATACTTATGGTATTTGACCAAAAATGTACTTTACTATGACCGTGACCAATTTCTAAAAACATTATCCACTTCCCACAAATCCTGTTATTTGTGTAGCTTTGGCTTGAAATATGAGCAGATATACAATGCACACCACAAGATGGAATTAGTGCTTTAGAATTACATGTTCCAATATTGCTTGAACCACAGTTGCGCTGGCGTCCATACTGCTAGAATGAACAAAGTAGATTATCATGCTAAGAAATCATCCAGCTAAGAAATGGACATTAATAAGGCAATTTTTAGCATGTAAGAATGGTGTGCCTTTGATCACATTAGAAAGGTGAAAGAGAGTGATTAATACCGAAACAATGCTGAAGCATATTTTGAGAAGAGAAATGGGACGATTAACTTCATGTCGCTTGTGGGTGTAATTTTTGGGGCCCTGGTTATTGTCAGCTTAATATTGTTTTGGATTTATTTAGATATACAGTTTATGTTTTTTTATTCTGTGATGGTGTTGACATTTTCTCTTTTTTATTTTCTTTCATCTTGGAGATCCACACAAGTGTAATCTGAGTCACTACTGTAGATAGAGTGTATTTGCACAGCTTGGGGTTCTG